AAAAAAGAAGAATAAAAAGAAGAAAGTTCAACCGCATATTTATTCCCACTCAAGAGCAAAATTTTTGTGTACTCAAAAAGTAAGTACACTCTAGAATCGGTCAGTGTGTCCGGCCGAGCGACCGGCCGTTTACGTGATAACTTTTGAAAGCAGAGTTCAATCATGATGAAATTTTCTACACAGTTTTGTCCCAACAATATCTCGGTTTAGTTCGAAGATGAGAATGAGTGTCCGAGCCATTGGTGAGTTATTGTAAAAATAATTATTTTCCCCTATGCTTTCCTATGTGAGGATCAACCAGTCCCTGCTTTTGTAAAAGACTTTCCCGATCATGGTCACATAAAACCCCAATTATTATATACCATTCGACAGAGAATTTCACGAGCTACAAAATAGTATATAAAGCATCAAGAAACAAGGAAGCTAACTCACCTATTGCAAAGATAAATAAACGGAAATCGGTTCTGTTCTTGTCCACGCTCTAATTGATCCACAATTAGAGCTCTATCTTCTGATCGCAAAGGCGATACTCCAGGGTTTTTCGGGATGGAGAACTCGAATTTGTACTCCACTTGCCTCGAAGCTCTATTGATTGAGCACTGACCAATAGAAATCAAGTTATAGGGAAAACGACTTTCTTAGAGTAAATCAAGGCGAAGACCCCGAACACCGACTAATTCAAAGTGAATTAAAACTGAATTAACGAATAAATCGTCTCAAAAAGACGATTTAAATCGAATTAGACCAATCACGTTGCTTAATTCGTTTTATTTTTTTCTGTATGTCCGGGACCAAATAGTTCAAATATGAGCTGTATTCACCTCCAAATCCTATTGGTTGAGCAGTAGCCAATTGAATTCAAGTGTCAATAGAAAAGGTTTGCCCGGCTAATTTTTATATCCAGATATTCTAGGATGACTGATTTGTCTCATTCACTTTTTGAAGTACACATAACTCTCGGATATAAATCCGAGGTTTCCACATTTATTTCATCTATTGTTGTTATTTCAATTGAATGAAGATCGAACATCTTTTGCCATTTTATATTTGTTAGCTCAGCTTATATTTTGAGGAAAGAATCAGAATAACCAAAAATCAACTCTATATTGGGTTTACAGATAAGTTTCATATACCTAAGATGGGTCGAAAATTTTTGAGGGGCTGAGCCCCCCCTAGCCCAAAATCCTGGCTACGCCACTGTTGATATCATCGGATTTTGTTGAATCCGATAGTTTTCAGTTATTGGAATTCGACGACATCTGACTGTTGGAAATTAAAGGTTAGCACAGGTTTCTGCCTATCGGAATTCCATCGGATAATGTCGGATTTTCATGGATCCGATAGGATCCTGTTGTACAGATTTCACCTGGGTAATATTATTGATGTGTTTTCCTGTTTTATATCGTTAGTTATTATTGAAACATTTATTATAAAAAAATAAAAATAAAAATAATGTCATTTATGATCTACTTAAAAAGCTCATCAATTCCATTAATACGACATATAATGAACTTTTTTGAATACTTGAAACAACAAATACGAATGATTTAACGTATGATGACTACCAGAAGATGTAAAAGCATATACAATCTTCGAATTAAAAAATAAGATAATTTCCATTATGCATTCGATACTATCTTACGACTAGAATGCACCTCAAACAACTTTTTCGATTATATTTGAAACGGATGTCAAATCTGATTATATATGCATTGGTAGAGAATTTGGCGTTGAATCTTTTGATTAAAAAAATGTTTTGGATAAGTGGGAAAAAAAGAGAAAAAATTTAAAGATACTAATAGTATAATTCTTTATGAGCTACTCGTTAATATCGTTCTAATTAGTTTGACACATTTTAATTTTGATGATATGAGAAATAATTTTTCAAAAAAAAAATTAACGTATGCAATTCTAAGAGCTTTAAATTGATCTTAGAAAAGTCTCAGATGATATAGAGCTGTAAGAACAACATTCTAAAGCTTCTATAATTTTTTTTTAATTTACAGTGTGTTTAGAAAATTTTCTTGTCCTTGCTTCTGGCTTTGTTCAAATTACTTTCTTTTGACAGCCAATAGTTTTCATTTCTCTATACGGGAAGTCAAAGAAGCGTTTGCTCTTCTTTCCCTCAAGCGTTTGAATGTCAGAGACAAATATTAATCAGAGAAGTGCAAGACTAAGAGAGAAACAATATTTTGCGATGTTCTTATCAAAAATATAAAATAATATTTTGAATAAACAGATCAAAATCATTATGGAGTCGTTATCAACAACTGTGAATATTCTGAATTCTATTAGACAGGATTTAACGTATTTATATTATGGTATACTTCTCGCTGGAATTAGTGGTAATGTTCTAAACATTCTTGTCTTCACTCAACTCAGATGTTTTCGAGAAAATCGATGTGCTTTCTATTGTATTGTCGAATCGACTGTAGGAACTATTGCCTTGTCCATTACTTTAATCAGTAACACATTACGAATGACACATGGATATGATCCCGTTGATTACATATTGGCTTGGTGTAGAATAAGATATATGTTATTCCAAGGAATATCACTCACCATATACTTTACGATATGTTGTGCTGCTTGTGATCAATTCTGTTCGACAAGTTATCATTTTGCTATAAGAAATATGTGTACACTCAAACTGGCTCGATATCTGATATTTATCGCTACTTTCATCATGTTCGTCCATAGCATTGTATTTAACTCTTTTTTCACTATTCACCCGTTACTTGGATGTGTCAGTGGAAGTCCAACATTAAATCTATATTCAACATATTTCTTTTATCCAGTTTTGTATGGTCCTGTGCAGATTGCTGTCTCATTACTTTTTAGTTTATTAGCTTTTCGTAATGTTCGTCGTATTGTCCGTCGACAAGTACCGATTGTTCGTCGTCGACTCGATCGACAAATGACAGCAATGATTTTGACACGTGTTGTGTTTTTTGTGATATTTGCATTACCATTTACCATTTATCGGATGTATATTATCAATAATCCACCTTCACGATCGAATAGTTTGCAATATTCTATTGGACAATTACTTCAAACAAGTCTTAATTATTTTATTAGTTTGAACAATGCGGTATGTTCGATTCGGTGTTCTATTGACATAAATTATAATGATTTATTTCTAGAGTAACTTTTACATCTTTATGGCAATATCATCACGATATCGTCGTCAAGTCAAATGTGTTTTGGTGAGAAAATGTTGGCAACGATGGAAACATTGGCATTGTATGCGCCAAAATGAAGTTGCCCCCGCAAATCCAGTGACGATTACTTCTAATGACGACTTTGACTGATATATATCGTTAGATTTTAATACATATCGTAGTAACTTCTTCATGTTGTACGGCTTAAACTATCCTTCATCCATGATAGGCCCTAAAGGGACATAATGCTGATTACAAATAACTGATTAAAGAAAGCACAGGAAACAAAGAATAGAGATGACACAAGTCATGATCAATGATTTGTGCAGAGCCAAACTACTTTAGTATTCGAGTAGAATATTGAGATATATGGAATAGAAGAGAATCATATAACCATGGTGCTGTGAGAGGAAAAATTCAAACACGATTACTAGTGCGCTATTCCTCTCCTCTTCTCCGCTCCCCTCCATCGTTCTGCGCACCATGGTAATCTTTGTTTTTTAATTGCTTTTAGACTCTTGCTTTATTAATTTGATGTTTCATATACAGATGTGCATTCTTTTGACAATAAATATCCGTTATAAAACATGCTCAAGATGTTGATTATAATATTGAAGTCCTGGGGAGATAAATCTTTTTATGGAATAGATAGTTTGAAGTCAAAGATTAATTATTGTTGATGCATTGTTTGAAATTTAACATGCACTGAACAGCACTTAATTGTTGTCAATAGTATAAGTTTTGACTGTTTCTGTGACCATGTGTCAAAACACTCAATATTGTCATATCAAATAAAGAGATCAAGCGGCCCGTTTGCGAGAAAAAAAAGAATAAAAGCGCTAGGAAATTTGTTCGTCAAGAAAATAGAAGTACATCCATGTTACTCCTGATGATTCAAATTTCTTGTGTGGTGAACGTTACCAAAAAGATAAAGTTATGATAAGCAGAGACAAAAATTCTCTCATCAAATCTTTAAGAATAGATCACTTGAAAGTATCTTGAGGGTATCTCAATGAGGAATAAAAATATTCAAGATTAACTCTTCGATATACTTTGTATTCTCTATTAAAATATCAAAAAAAAAGAAGAGAGAAAATAATATAACAGTATTTGATTACAATAGCCTCGTGTAAAATAGAATATTATTTCATTATAACAGGAAAAAAGGATTTTATGTTGCATCATTTATTGAATCATCGTTGCATATTTTCAAAAATTCATGTGCACATAGTTGACATGATACCAGTAATAGGAGATTATATGAAATATTTCTGACAAATCAAAGAATTTAATAAAGAAATTTCGCATATTTAAACAATATGTAGAGTGAATATATATGATTTTACCGTGATCAATTTGTGTCTTTTCTTTTATTGGAAATGTCATCAATTTGTTCTCGTGTCATGTGATAATTCATGACACTAAATTATTAATTAATATCAAAGGATACCGACAGATAAGGTCCAATATCGAAACTAATAATGTAGATCGATGATATTTTTGATGATCTAAAATATGATATTAGAGATCATGTTTACGTTTAGTTTTCTCTTAGATTATATAGGGTCAAAGCGGGTACAATAATATATCCGCTTTATCCTACATATTGTACGAGAAAAGCTAAAAGTAAACGTGATCTCTATATCATTTTGTAGAGCATCAAAAATCTCATCGATCTACGTTATTAGTTTCCACATTGAGTTTACAAATGGGTAGTTGTGGGTGTGGGTGTTAGTGGATGTAGGGTGCGAGTGTGAGTATGGGTATTTTTTCTCACACCCACATCTTCAATTTTGACAGGTTCCTGATACGAAGATTTGGTCTAAATCCTGGCAGAAATCTAATAAAATCTTGTCAGAATCCTCTTTGATAATCCTGTCAAGATCCTTAGTAGGATTGAGAATGAATCCTCGTAGAATCCTACATTGTCAATTCAGAAAAATATCTGAGCAGAAACCTGAACAGGATCGTGTTTAGCCATGAGAAATTCTGAAAACAGATATTACCAGAATTTGAAACAGGATCCTGAAGAAAACTTGGCAAGATCCTTGAGCTTCAGAATTCTGAAAGATTCTTTCAGGTTTACTTATGAAATGAGCAGTATTGAGACTAGGAAACATCTTATTCGTCGATATTGTGCATTTTTTTGTTATTCTCCGCACATTTTTTTTCCTTCTCCTTTTCATGTGTGTTTTTTTTTCATCATTGGATGAATCCGTGAAGTTGCTATCACTTTTGAGAAAAAGTTTTTTCATCGAATTTTTGTGGAACCCACATATATTTTTGAAGAAAATAGTGAGTGTACGTTTTAAGGCCAAGTGTTGACGGCTCTCCCCCTTCCCATTACAGACACTTAGCAACGGGGAAGAGACCATTACAGACCTTAGCAATTAAGAATAACAGGTGCCGAACTTTCTAGTTCTTTTTTTGAAAAATTGATAAAGTTATAATTTTGAAAGATAATCGACATCATTGTTTGTGAGCTGATTACTATATATAATAGTGCGTAAGAGCTTCTGTAGATATCATAGATATGTAAAACAGATTTATTTATGAATTAATTCAATGATTATAATAATAAGAATGTTGAATTACGAAAAACGATTTAAAAAAATGAGAGATAATGAGTGAATAGCAACAATGCAAAAGAAAAATAGGGCGCTCGCGAACAAAAAAAATTTTCTGTTTTAAATGTAGAAATAAATAACAATGTTTCGCTCTCGTCATTGATTATCAATGAAAACAACTACAGTGCACAATAAATTTTTCAGTTTACCTATGATGTACTAGATTATTAAGGTTTAAGAATATATGTGAGTTCTACATTTCAGCTCCAAAGGAGCTGCGCTACCAAGCTTTTTGTGCTGGTTAGGCGTAATATGGATAGAGAATAGATTTGGCGGAAAAAGAATTGTAACTACTATTTGAAATACCGAAGATTCAGGTCATTTTCCAGGAACATCTAAGGAGGAGCAGGATCACCCAGATTATTACAATGTTTAAAGCTCATATTTTGCCCATAGGTAGGAAGCAACTAGACTAGCA